ATTGGGGGTAGAAAAAGCAGCAAAGCTTGTATTTATATATAGAACATTAAACAATGATATATTAAATAATTTTGATGAAATATAACAATAATATTGATAAAGAATATACTTTACTCAAATAAAATATGTTATATTTTTTTTAATTTAAAAGCATAACTAAATATCGCATTTTTTAGTAAAAACCTAATTTAAACGGAAAAAACCATGGTTTTTTTGATTTTTTTCAAAAAAAAACATGAAAAGCCCGTCTTAAATAGACTTGGCGGGCTATGAGGGCCGCCCGTCTAGATGGTCTTGCACGGGCTTTTTTAAACTTTAAAAAAATTTCTAAAGTTTGAACTTTTTTTTTTAAATTTGTTAATTTCTCTTCTTCTTTTTGAATGAAAATGTCATTGAATATTAAACATTTTGTGAATTGCACTAAAATAATATGTTAGAAAGCGATTAACTGTTTAAAATGCTTAATTACTTAAGTAATTAAAACACTGCAGTAAATGAGTTGGATAATACTTAAAACTAAGATTTCAATAATTGTTTTTTAAAGTTTTCACTTGCACAGATCTAACGTGGTTAGTTCACGTGGTTAGTTAACGTGGTTAGTTCACGTGGGTTAGTTGTTTTATGGTTGCTTTTGTTTAGTTTTCTTACTCGAAGGAACTTTATTCAGTTTTTTATGTTTTTTTTTTTTAATCTTTATTCCAGATAATATCTGGCAGATATAGTCAAACGAATGAACGTGAAAACGACGGGAAAAATCCTCGAAACAACCATGGCGTTTCATCACATTTCCTTTTTCAAGCATCCTAACGTGTTTTTTTACCGAAGTCTTTTTGAGTATATTTATATATTATTGTTTTATTCAAGTATTCGATTAAATTATACAGGTTTTTATCGTGCTTTTTTAGTTCATTCGCTTCTCTTATTCTTTGTGAATAAAAATATTACATAATATTTTCAAAATCTAATTTTTTTAATTATTCAGCAAATAGTTTGAAATCTTTTTTTTTTGTAACCTTGAATCAATGAGCTCGATAGTTTTAGAATTGTTTGGTATTAGCTTGGTAATATGATACGTAACTATGTTATTTTTCAAATTCAATTATTTATATACTCTTGCATTCTATTGGGCGTGCAAATTAAAAACTTAAACTGTTATTTATATTTTTATAACTTTGCTTTACCTATGCCTATCCTGATCGGAAATAGTTATTCTGATACGTGAATAAAAAATTTGAAATCTAATTTCTTTTAATAAAATAAGTTTTTATTTAGAAGTACTAATAATTTCTTAAGATACCGGGACTTCCGTTACTTTATATACAATATAAGCATGTATATAAGCGTATGTATGTTGCTAGCTTTAACGTTCGTAGTGCCCTCTATAAATGCTAATGCTTTTGATTTTGCCAGACCTTTTAACTCGCGAAGCAATTCTTTTTTATATTTTATACAAACCATACACCATATCTTCACAACAAAAATTGTTCCATTCTCCACCTCAGTTTCTTTTCCACAGACTCCATCATTACCCCAACTCAAAAATGTTGCTAATGTAACTCTTCTACCAGATGATGCTATTACTATCTTTATTGAAAAACTTGAATAACTTGAAAAACTTGAATGATAACTTCATAACTATAAAGCAACACTAACTTGATTAACTTCATAACTATAAAGCAACACTATTTATATTATCTACAAAAATTGATTAGACGTTTGTTGATTTTTAATGAGATATTTCATTTTCAATAACGAGTTATATAACTGCATATTAAATAAACTGCTGTCTCTTTAAGAAAAAACGTGAAGTTAACGCGGAAGTTAACGCGGAAATATCACTTTAAATGTCTTTAAAGTAAGACAAACTAGTTTATCGGAAAAAAGCGAAATACATGGATAATTAGTTTATTATCGTTATTATTATAAACATTGAAAAACCAAAACAACATGATACTTCTTGTGCATCACATGTGCATATTTCCCTATTTAATATAATAGTTATTAAATTTTGAACATGATATGGTAACTGTTTGGTATTATATCAAACAGTTATCGTCGTTTAAAAAACTGTAAGATTTAGTTATATTATTTTCTACATCATGTTATACAATAATGATAATAATTGTTTAATTTTTATATTTAAATATAAACAATTATAAGTTGGAGTTTGCTATCCATATTAAAACTATGTCATGAGAGAAGTTTTAAAAGAGTATCTTAATAAAAAAACATCAAAATATTCATTTTTTTTTTTACACAAAACTTATGTTTCAGACAGGCTTTATTTCGCCCATCTAAACTGACTTAGACGGGTGCGGAGACGGACACGGGCTATAGCCCGTCATTCCTGCCGAAGCCTGTATATATATATATATATATATATATATATATATATATATATTTTTATAGCATCCTAGTTGGCGACTTTCGGGGAAATGTTATTTTAGTTCCTGTTCTGTTTTTGTTTTTTTTTACTTTTTTTATACTACTTTATCATATTTATATATTTGTTTTAATTTTTATTTTATTTCTATTTTTATTTATACATATTTAAATTTATTATTTTATTATAAAACTATATTTTTTATATTAATTTTTGTCATTTTTATTTATCTATTTTATATTATATTTCATTTTTAACTTCATCTCTTTACAAAAATGATTAATTACAATAATATAACCAAATTTAAACCTTGCCGTAACCCTAACCTTAAGCCTGAACTTGATGCCTGGCCAAACCAAACCCTCAGTCTATGTAGCAGCACTCCCTTGCGAGTCAGGCTTTTTGTCAATCAATGTATGTACTTTTTGTTCTCTATAAAAGTTTCTTACGAGTACATTTTTAATGGGTACATAAAAATGTCCCCGATAATGCTAATGTCCTCGAAAGTGTTTGTTTTTTTGTAAAATCTGTCCCCGTAAGTGCTAAACTATACAAATATATATATATATATATATATATATATATATATATATATATATATATATATATATATATATATATACATATATATATATATATATATATATATATATATATATATATATATATACATATATATATATATATATATATATATATATATATATATATATATATATATATATATATATATATATATATATATATAACCCTCGGAATTAGGAAAAATGAGATCAGAAATTTTTTGCCGACCTCAAACACTTTTAGGTCAGCAGTTAGGCCGGCCCTAATTCCGAGGGTTGCATATATATATATATATATATATATATATATATATATATATATATATATATATATATATATATATATATATATATATATATATATATATATATATATATATATATATATATATATATATATATATATATATATATATATATATATATATATATAAAGCAATAACCAAGTAAACAATTCTAAAGAATTCTTTTTATATTTTCAGCATATTCCACAAAGGTGTGACAATTTACAGTAGTTAAGACATTTATGACTTCCTGTAATTAAATTTTTGGTATAAATAAAAGTTTTATTAATTTAAACATTTTTTATGAGTCTTTACAATTAAATTAGTAATTTAATTTTAAATTTTAATCTTCAAAGACTTACTTCAAACACTGGTTTTAACAAAGTTATTTTTATTGGCAAGTAAATTCATATGCCAATAAAAACATAAGTTTCTATGCATAAGTTATACATTTATTTTCACCTACACTTGAATGCACACTAAAGTTTATTTGCTTTATAATTATAATATTACTAATTCCAAGGATAAGAAAGAACTATTTATAAAGAACTCTAGCTCAACTTACAAAGCTAATGCCCACACTCTTCCTATCATTCAAAAGAAACAGGTGAACTAAAGTTGTTGTCCTTGATAGACAATACTCTTACTTTTCTAGTCAATTTTGGGATACCAAAAGGCTTCGTCCTTGGTCCTGTTAACATCCTGTGTTGACAACACAGGATGTTAACACAACACAGGATTGTCCTTGTTGTAAGATTATCTTACTGATAATTTCACCTAAAAGTGGCTCTATTTATTGATGACACAACTATACACTTCTGTCTTGACAAAAAGTCATTGCTGTTTGATTTTTTAGAACAGGTGCTAATTTTGAATCTGATCTCTTTTTGTTACAGCTTTGGACTTGTAGTGACTGGTGAACTGGTAGTGACACTCTGATGAACTCGTAAACCCAAACAAAAAGTTCTTTGCTGCTACTAAAAGAGAATGGAATCAGGAATAATATTACAATAGCAATATTACTCCTGATTCCATTCTATTTAAATGTCTTATTTGTCCTTGTAGGAAATATTACTTATTTTTAATGATTTACTAAAATCAGAATCATATAATTAATAATACTTAATATACTTGTCATACTTGGGCTGGTTCTTCTAATGAGATTTTTTCTCTTTTAAACAGGGTCCAAAAACGCCTGTTATTATATATATTATAGAGATAGTTTAACAACATTATGTTGTTGGAACAACTCTAGGAGCCAAGTTTGGGCCTCTTTTTTTTCTGCTCAAAAAAGCTATCATTAGTCCTATCAACCAAAACTCAAGTTCACATGTCTCATTATTAAGCAAAGCTGCACTATTTTAGAGTAACTGTTTGTGTTTTAAATTTTTTTTCCTAAAACAATGATGCTTTGAAATTCTCTCCTGTCTTCATTTTTTTCTGATTCATGCAATTTACAGTTTAAATCTCCACTCAACCTCTCACTTGCTCATTAACTCTCTTCTTTATTTTCTGTTAACTTTTAACGTGATTAGCGCTTGCAACCTTTAGTATAAATTTGTTTAAAAAGTAAAAAAAAAATCTAAAAATTAATTTTGAAACAGTAGCTGTGATCAAGTTACAACTAAAGTAAGATGATCTAACTAAGAATGCATATATACAATTTAAGAAAAAAAAGATTGACATATACATAATATCTTGTAATTAATATTAGTCAATTAAAAACGTAGAAAATTGTTATATTAATTATAATGATAAAATAAGTAGTACCCCATATGGTGGAAGTGTGTTTTCTATAGCTTCTGATGAGAATTCATTGTTAAATCCTGTCATATACTAAAAATATAATAAAATTAGCTACAATCGTACAAAAATCAAAAAAATTGTTTGTGTTACTACAACATTACTATATTACGATATTTGCTGTCCACTAAACACCAGTCCAAAATTGGTTATTATTTAGTTAAAAAATTTTAATTTGATTTTACTATATATAAAAAAAATTATTTTCTTTCATTATTATTATTTATTTTATTCAAGATTATTTAAAAGCAAAAGTATAACTTTAAACAAGTTGTATTCAATATAAAGTTAAATATCTAGGTGTCTATTGAAAAATAGTATTTCAAACAGAATTTAATATTCAGAGCATTTATCTAATACTAAAAGCTATTAATTAGCATAATATACATGTATATCATTTTTACAACTCTAAACAAGCCAAAAGCTTTGTGTTGAAAAAAAAGGTAGCCCTAGGTACACAGGTCTTCTATACAGAGTATATAAATGTAAATGATTAAGACTTTACAGTTTCAGGAGAAAAGTACAGTTGGTATTAAGATAATAAGTGGTATCATGTGAAACATTTCCAACAATTTTCAACACAGAAATCCTAATTTTTTAAAATTAATATCATCATCATCGAAAATTTATCACCGTCATTTTCATTAGCAAATAAGCAGTATTTAACCTTTCTCTTGATGCTATAAAGCCTAAGTTTTGGCTTTTTGACATTGCTACTAACCAAAAGTATAAAATTTGTATTGACTCTTGGTCAATACAAATAGCTTTAAAGTTTAAGTTTTAAATTTAACTTTATAGTTAAATATAAACTCATAGTTGTACTCTTATATTAAAAAATATTCTATAGCTGAAAATAGCCATATTAAAATTTTGATTTTTTGTTTTTAGATTTAAATAGTGATGTTGGAAGGCTGACCTTTAAGTTTGAAGCAAAACTTGTCAACTTTTGTGCCATTTCCATTTGAATATCAATTGACGTGCCTAATAATTTAATCAGATTTTACCACATTGCTTGTCTTAATGGAGAAATTTATTTATCCTGACAATAAAAAGCTTTAATAAAGGATTAATGTTAGCTAGTTTTTTACACATGTTTACCTAATCGAAATAGACAGGGGAGTGTGCGCCAAAGCTATTCCTATTTTTCTGAAAATTAATTTTTTTTGTTTTTTTCTATAACGTAAATTAAATTATAACGCACAGTATTATTATTTTAACAAATATAGAAAAAGTTCATTTTTTAAATTACTAATTTACTTTTGAAATTTATATATATTATAAATTAATCCCGCAAAAATCAACTTGTATTTGACCAGCGTTTTTACGTCTTTTAAAATTAAACCAGAAGCTAAACCACTAGAATATTTATAAATATTCTAGTGGTTTAGCTTCTGTTTTAAATTTTATTAACTATTTTAACACATAAAAACGTCTTAATTGAGGCAATTAAGGTTTTAATGTTATTGAATCAGTCACAGGCCTTATCATAGGGAGAGGGGGAGAAAATCAAGGTTCACCTGATCCGGGCCTCTAGTCCCAAATAAAATCTAACCTTTTTTTTTTTTTTTTTTTTTTAAATTAAAAAAAAAAACACGTTGTTTTTTAAAGTTCTTTTTACGTTTTTGAGTTCTTTTTAAGTTCTTTATAAGTATTTTTTAAAAAAAAATTAAAAAGGTTGATGATTTAATTAAATACCATTATTATAATAATTATTATAATTTTTTTTAGACTGTCTTTTTTATGATGCATGCTTGAACGATTTATATTTTTCTGAAATGTATTTATATTTCTATATAATCAAAGTATTGTAATATATTTATATAAAATTAATATAAAATCAAAGTATTGTATTATGTTTATATTTATATGAAATCAAAAAAATCGACATCGGTCGGTGGTCCAGCATTGGTCGATGAGATCAGTCGATAAAGCAAGACTGATGCCCTTGTATTAGCTAAATGGTCGATGCAACGATACACCGAAGCCGACGCATCGGTGCACCTACAGTATATATACAGTGTTCACAATAGTACTTAAATAGCTTTAATTTAAGTACTATTGTTAACACTGTATATATACTAGATATATACAGTGTTAAAAATAGTACTTAAATTAAAGCTATTTAATATATATATATATATATATATATATATATATATATATATATATATATATATATATATATATATATATATATATATATATATATATATATATATATATATATATATATACATACATACATATATATATATATATATATATATATATATATATATATATATATATATATATATATATATATATATATATATATATATATATATATATATATATATATATATATATATATATATATATATATATATATATATATATATAGTGTTCGGCACAAATTCAAATCTTTCCAAGATTTGATGTATATTTGAACGTTATTTAACTTATTTCATTTATTAATTTTAGTTATCTGAATCTATAAATTTTATTCATATTACAGCATTTGTTACTATTTCTCACACATTACAGCTTCTTTTATTCTTTTTAATCCAACCAAGACTTCAAGCACTGGCAAGCTTGAATGGTATCTGCAGAGAGAAGATTTCTTTTGTCAGTAATAAGATTTTTTCCTAATGAGAAGAGCCTTTCTGATGATACAGATGTAGCAGGAATGGCCAGGTAATCTCTGGCCATTCTGGATAGGTTTAGATATTTGTCAGATCGAGATTTCCACCAAAGTAATATGTTGCTATTATTGCCGCCATCTAGCTTACTTGTATCATTACAATAGTTTTCAAACTCATTACATGGGTTTGATGAAACACGCGATTTGAACGGGGTATTTTTTGAAACGTTTTGAATGCTTGTAGCAGTTGTAATATTGCTTGGGGCATAGTTGATTTGATATTCACAATTGACTGTGTCCATAATCTTTGTATACGACTCGCTGTTTGCGCCCTTATCATTTTTGTAATATTCAATACCAAATCTTGGGTCCAGGACAGTGCAGATAGTAAAGCAGTCACTAGTCAAATTATAATATCTTGAAATTTTTGCGAACGCTGCAACTGTAGAGCGGTGTAGATTATCTTCAGGGTTGGTTTTTGTGGTCATCCATTCAGTAATGTGATCCAAAAGAATATTGAAGAGAGGAACCACCAAAGACAATGTGGAATATGAATCACCACTAATGAGCTGGGTAAATTCCTGGAATGGTTCAAGATACAAAACAATTGTTTCAAACCTGTTCCAAACATCTGGTGAAATTGATAGACAACAGTCTGGATTGCTTGCAGTTGAGTCAAAATCGCAAAAATACGCAATGAAACCAACTTTTAATTTCATTGCTCGTTTAAGCATATCAGCTGTTGAGTTCCATCTTGTAGGGACATCAAGTATTGGTTTTAAGGTGCAATTTGATTGCTGGAAACCTTTGAACCTAGAATATGATTGAGGACTGGATCGGATTTTTTTAATTCCTGTTCTAAGTTTTACAAGATCATCTTTCAAAACATCCAAACCTGCTTGCGCGTCCAAATTCAGCACATGAGCAAAACACCGGATATGCTCAAAGGTGGTTTTAATTTCGTACTTGGAATTTAAAAAATCCATAAATGAATTATTATTGGAAGCATTATCTAAGGTAATGCCCATTCCTTTGCTTGTAAGACCGAATTCAATCAAAACTGACAAGAATGCATTAGATAAATTTGAACCTGAATGGGAATCAGGCAAGGATTTGAAATCAAGAGTTTTGGCATGTAGGTTCCAGTCTTTGTCAATGTAATGAGCCGTTATGCCCATAAAAGCAATGTTGTTGGGTGATGTCCAACAGTCAGTGGTGAATGAAACCTTTGAGTCAAGATTCAAAAAAAGGGTCTTTAGCAATTGTTTTTTGGTGTTGTAAGTGTCCATTATCTGGCGTTTTAATTAACGCGCACTCATGATTGACAAACTTGGTTTCAGTAGAGTGAGTAGTTTACGAAAGTGGCTGGACTCTACCTCATTAAATGATTGATCATTCTTGACAATCCAGCTAACTAAGTATTCATTGAATAGATCTGGAGAATAAACGATTGGTGTCATTATCATGTCATCTAAACGTCGTTGCTTTGGTTCTCTGTCCCCAAGTAATTTGCTTTTGTGTTGAGAATTTAAATGGTTCATTAGATTTGTTGTCCCACCTTTATTGTAAGCATACTTGTTCTTGTGCTTTGGACAATGCTAGCATATGGCCTTGGTTTTGTCATGCTCATCAACTGTGAAATGATCCCATACAATTGATTGTGAACGTTTGGTGGTTTTTGTAACAGAAGAAGATTCGGGTTCTGGATTATCCGACAAAATTAGGAATGTATATTTGATTTCTTTCAAAACAATAGTTTGGTTAGGGGTACTAATTAATCATTCAATCAATCAATCAATATATATTTCTGAAATAGATACATTTCAAGGTTGTTTACAAATAGTAAATATACTAATATTAAGTAAACACCTAATGAAAATGATTAAAATAATAATGGTTTAAATAATAAAAATAATATTAATAATAATGATAACAATAATAATAATTATATATAAGTCACTTGTCTTTATAAATACAATAGCTACATAAACAAAGTTAGACAGTTACAAACAGTTACAACTGATAAAACGTAAAAGTAAACAATGACATATAGCAACTATTATAATGAAAAACAAGGAAAAATAATTAATGAAAATAAGAATAACGAATATTAAAATAGAAATAATCATAATATAGTTTAAAAAAAAAAAAAAAAACATACATAAACAGATCAAATTTACAAAAACAGCTACAGTAACAGCAAACAATACAAACACAATAGCAACAACAACACAAGTTTTCACAAACATACTACAAACAAAACGGCAAACTTAAACCGACAAAAAAAAGATTAACAAATAAATAAATTAGGAAATCTACCTGAAACCTGGAAATATAAAAATAAGTTATAGTAAAAATAAGTTATAGTAAAATAAAAATAAGTTATAGTAAAATAAAAATAAGTTATAGTAAAATTAAAAAAAAAAATTCTTTGCTTTCAAGCAAGCCATTATTATATTTTTTTATTATTTTCTTTTTTCGAATGATTGTTTCTTTCTCTGAATGTTTTTCGATTCGTTATTGTTTTACTTTTTCCATTTTTATTGTGGTTAAATTGTATTTGCAATTTTTTCTTTTCATTTTTACATATATTTTTTTCTACGTTTTTTCTTTTAATCTTGTACTTTGTTTACATTTCTTTTCTTTTTTTCTTTCTCTATGCTCTTTACTTTCTCTTTAATATTAACAAACTTTAATTAAAAACTCTTTTTTTTTTTTTTTTTTCCGTTATTGAAAGGCGAGCGCCATTCCGGAAACCACTGCAAAGACCCCGGAATAAAGTGATATATATGTTTGCGGGCCTGTAAAATTTGGCGTTTTTTTTTCAAACGCAAAAATTGAGAACAAAGTGAATATTTGAAAATCAAATCCAAATCCCCCAGATATTTGTCAAATCAAATTCAAATCTATCCCCTCAAAGAACAGTTTAAATTCAAATCTTTAAAGGTTTGACGTATATTTGATTTTGCCGAACACTATATATATATATATATATATATATATATATATATATATATATATATATATATATATATATATATATATATATATATATATATATATATATATATATATATATATATATATATATATATATATATATATATATATATATATATATATATATATATATATATATATATATATATATATATATACTTTATATATATATACTTTATATATATATACTTTATATATATATATATATATATATATATATATATATATATATATATATATATATATATATATATACACATATATATATTTGATTTTTATATAGTTAGATGTGACTTAGTAACTGCTTTAGCTCACCTGTAATTTACTATATATGTATGTTTGTACTCTGTCTGAACCTTTGGAGCGGTGTTCACTCACCCAGTAAGTAACAATATGTATGTTTGTGTTCTGTTTGAAACTCTGTAGCGGTGTTCACTCACCCGTAAGTTACTTTATGTATGGCTGTATTCTGTTTAAATCTGCAGTGTGAGCTCAGTAACCAAC